GCTGATTCATGTCAATGTATGACAAAACCCACTACAATATTGTAAAGTAATTAGCCTCCAACTAATAAAAATAAATGAAAAAAAAAAAAAGAAATAGCTGCATAGATTGTAAAACAATATTTAAATATAAAGAATGAAAGCAGGCACCATGAAAATCAAAACACTGGTGAGCTCCAGTGAGGGTGGAACAGGGTGTGATTTGGGCTTTCGGGTGTTGGTGATGTTTTATTTCTTACTCTGGGCAGTGACTGAACAGTTGATCACTTTATACTTATCAACCTTTTAATATGTGTACATGTATTTTTATGTATTCTTCCATATGTGTTGTTGCATATGTGTGCTCAGTCGTGACTGACTCTTTGCAACTCCATGGACTATAGTCCACCACGCTCCACTGTCCATGGAATTTTCCAGGCAAGAATACTGGAGTGGCTTGCCATTTCCTTCTCCAGGGAATCTTCCCGACCCAGAGATTAAACCAAGTCTCCTGCATCTCCTGCACTGGTAGGCAGATTCTTTATCACTGCACCACCTGGGAAACCTGAAAGTGTTAGTCACTCAGTCGTGTCTGACTCTTTGCAACCCCAATAACACTAGCCCATAGCTGCCAGGCTCCTCTCTCCCTGGAATTCTCCAGGCAAGAATACTGGAATGGGCTGCCATTCCCTTCTCCAGGGGATCTTCCTGACCCAGGGATTGAAACCAGGTCTCCTGAATTGCAGGCAGAGTCTTTACTATCTGAGCCCCCAGGGAAGCCCCATCTATGTGCCTTAGAGTTCACATATTAGAAAAGACTAGTTAGAGAAAGACAATATGTATAGTTATCAAAGTTTTACTGTGAAATTAAACCAAAAGGAATGCATGGTAGTCTCGTTGAGGTATAGGATATAAGGATTTTGCTGTCAGTACTCTCTTCTATTGTTTCCTAAAAATAAGACATGTTAAAAAATATTTGTGTGCTGCTTGGAATGACTCTGTGGTTTAGGGCAAATGTGGTGAAGGAGAAAGGAAGGCAGTAATTGTTGAAGATGAGCCCCTGAGAGGATGGCTGTGGATGGAATCAGGACAAATGAGGTAGATGTTCTGATGGGATTGGGAACTCTTGATCACTGGACAGAAGAGTGAACATTGTGGAGGGATGGGTTTGAAGTTATAAACTCGGTGGTGAGAATTAGAAGTTATCCTCAGTGGCGGTGGGAAGAGGGGTTAGGCTCTTCCTTAACATGACCCTAGAGGAGGAGGATCAGCAGCCTGTGTTACCATGCTTTCAAGCAAATGTCCTGAACAACACTTAACAAAACTCACCGTGGTTCTGTCCTGCCAGGCGGTTCATCAGGTAGGACTTTCCGGTCCGATACAGCCCTGCGATGGCCACCACCACCACAGGCTGAGATATCTGCTCCAGAATCTTCAGTGCTCTGGGATTTACTGTCAGCTGGTTGTTCTGGTTTCTTACCAGACAGATGGGGTTCATTGTGGTGGATCCAGATGCCATGGGAAGCTGTAACCCAGAGAAACAACTCAGTAGAACACAAGGTCCCCAGAGGGGTGGGATGGGGGTGCAGGAGGGAGGCTCAAGAGGGAGAGGATTTATGTATACACATAGCTGATTCATATTGTTGTACAGCAGGAATGAACACAACGTTGTAAAGAAATTATATTTCAATTAAAAAAATGTGAAATAAAACCCTACAGGGTCCTGAGGTCATCCTTCATGGTTACATAAGTCATACGCATATTAGTCTTCTGCTTGTGGAACTTAGATATCAATTCTTTTTGCTTTGTATATTTCAAAAAGGTAAGTATTTAGCCTCGTGTGCCAAGGCCTGTAGATGTACAATATGTACATTATCTTATTGATTCTTAAATGAACCCTAACGCAACCTTGCCCACATGAGGCATACAGTGAACAGATTCAGAACACAAAGCACTGATGATAGAGCTTTGAGAACACTAACATTTTGGGGGTAAGTAGAGACAGATGGGACATGAATAGGATGAGGAGTGACCAGAGATGATTTCTTGAGTTCCAGAATGATTTGATCACTCATTAATTGCACAAATATTTATTGAGAACCTTCCATGTGCTGGAGACTGTTCTAGAAGCTCAGGATCAAACAGTGAACAAGATGGATACAAATTCTTGCTTCATGGATCTCTATTCTAGTCTAGTAAAGGAGACAAATAATATAGAAAGTGAAAAAATAAAACATCCACATATGTGGATATTAGAGGGTGGTAAATGGTCAGAAGGAAATGAGCAGGGAATGGGATTTGAATTTACATGGAATTTAATCAGGGAAAACCTTGCCAACAAAGGAAGAATGAATGTGACTGGTGACCAAATGAAGCAATCAGTGGAGTAGGACAGGCTGGAGGAAGATTGATTGTGAGAGAAAGAAGTTGAGATAAAGATGCTGCTCTCTCTTAAAACAGCACAGATCTTGAAGGTACCTAACACAGTTGCACATGTTAATAATTCAGTTACTACCTGAAATTAAAGGGAATTTCTTATTATTTAAGCAGATAGAGAAGAGATGCAAGCAACTAGGGTGTTATAAGGTCTGGCTAGATATGCCAGGGTCTCACATCTGGGCCAGGCTCTACTTTAAATGATTTCATCACCATGATTAGATGTTTCATGATCTTAGGAGACAGACAGAAGTCAGAAGGCTTTGACTGTTCCTTTATTTTCTCAAAAACAATACTAAGCAACATCCACATGTTTCCATATGTTACTGACTGTGTGACGGCTGAGAAGATTAATTTCTTTGTGCCTCAGTTTTTTCTTCTGTAAAATGGCAGCATGAGACACAAAACTCAATCTGTCATTAGGGTTATTTGGAGGATTAACTAGCTCATGATGCTTACAATACTTCGAAAATTATGCTGGTACATAGTAAGTTCTATATAGGTATTGCTTTGCAACTGAATGTCTGAAGACAGGGACAGTAATTACTGAATGAAACTGGAGGACTGGCTCTGACACTTCCCTCCCTGGTTGCAAGCAAGTGGGACGACACAGCTCAAGAGGAAGATGAGCAGGCTGGGGAGATCCAGTGGTAATATCTGAGAGGGAGGACAGTGATGGGGGGAGAGTCAGGCTGGAGGAGCTCAGAGCTGCCCTGGGATGTCCAAGTACAGGTTCTGGAGTCGGGCTGCCAGGGTTCAAACCTGAAGGTTCACAGTGCTTATTATCTGTTGATGCCTTGAAAAAGGAACTTACCTTCAAAACCTTCTTTTTCTTAGCAGTTTATATGTAAAGGAACAATTCTTGATTCACTACAGCACAGCTGGTAACAGATAGGCTATAAATCATGAAAAAAATTTTTTCTGGATTCATGTACGATTTCAAATAGACAGTATGTTATAATGTGTCAGTGAGCTCTGTAACCTGAAATTGTCAAGAATTATAAGGGATCTAAAATCTTTTTATGAGAAAAAACATTTATTTATTTAACAGATTTCTTCTGTATGATTTCTTTTCTTCTTCTATAGTGGATTTGGAGCAGAAATGCGAGAGTAAAACATGACCTTTTACTTCTGTGTTATGTCAAAATTAATAAAGGAAAACCTGGAGAATTCCCTGACAGTAGTTGGGACTCTGTGCTTTCACTGACAAGGGTGCTGGTTCCATCCCTGCTCTGGGAAGTAAGATCTCACTTGAAGGCCTGTGTCCTCTCCCCTATCATGTATGTGCTCTGTGCTCCAGGCAAGAATAGAGGAGCCTGTTGCCATTTTCTCCTCCAAGGGATCCTGACCCAGGGATCAAACCCACGTCTCTGGTGTCTCCTGCATATCTTGCACTGGCAGGCGGATTCTGAGCCAACTGGGTTTCATGTGTCCCCAACCCCCCACCCCCGCCAAAAACATGAACTTCACTCACTCAAATGGAGGCAGCAAGCCAGAAGGGGGCTTGTTGCAGACTACAGACTGGAGGTCAGTTATGGAAGAATTGTCAATTACAGACCCCAAGGGAAAAATTTTCAACAGGGAAAGAGTTATCAATGCCAAACCCTCAAGAGGAAAAGGTGTACATTGCATCTCCTACAAGAATTGACTACCCCAGCAACTCAATCAATGAGAACTGGTCATCACCCTTGAACTCTGACTTTTCTTTCCAAACCAACCTTCCCAGACCCTTACTTTTCTCTATAATGTTCTTTTTCTTAGCTGGACTTCCTTATGGCTTTTTTTTTTTTTTTTTTTAATAGCTCACTTGTCCCAAATTGCAATAACTCTACTATTCCTGAATAAATTCACTTTGGCTTGTAAAATAACTTTTATTTTAAGGTGAATAGCTATAAGCAAGAGAAATTGCAGAGTTTATATCCGAGACCAAACATTGATAAAGCTTTGTGTAAGTCAATGAGTCTACAAAGATTTTGTATTTTAACTCAAAGTATACTGAGGGACCAAAACCAACAAACTTGTAACTTCAAAACTAAGCACTTGAAAGGACTTTCCCAGCAGTCCAGTTGTTAAGACTCCGTATTCCCAATGCAAGAGATAGGGGTTAGATCCCTGGTCCAGGAACTAAGATCCCCCTCTCCCCCCACCACGTGCTGCAAGGCATGGCCTAAAAAATAAATATAAAACAACAAAAAGCCTTAAAAAAGAAACAAAACAAATAGAAAAGAACAGTGCTAACACAAGGCAGAAGATGACCAACAAGTTTCCAAAGATGACTTTAAAGAATTATCTGATAGTCAAACATACCCCACACTGGGGATTTTCAGCAAGTACCAGAAATTATTCTGAGGCTGTTAATGTATGTGCCGCTCGTTAAAAACAATGCATGATAAACAAACATGATTAGATCTTACAGTTATTAATAATAGTTTTTTTTTTTTTTTTTTTTTTTAGTAAGAGTGAGATTGAATTATCCCAAAGAAAACAGTTCTGTATGTATTCAGAGTATCAAACGTTAAGACAAAAATAATCCCGGGTCCATCTTTTAGGATTTAAATTGGCTCTATGTCTAGGACCATCTTATTTGTTTAACCACTGCCCAGCGGGGTGCACTCAGGATGTATCTGAGGAGGGCAAGAGGGGGCTGGGAGAAGACACCGCACCCATCGCCTCTGCGAAGGGCGGGCTGGAGAGTAAGGGTGAGTTTGGGTCTTCAGCTTCCTTTCCTCAGAAGACGTACCTGCTCTCCTGCTTTTTGCTGCATTGCTGCTTAGATGCTCCAGGAGCAGCGGCGCATCCGGGCGATAAGCTTGGAAGCAACCTGGGATCCAAAAGCAGACCCCGAGCTGCCCGAACAATGAGCCCGGCCGGTCGCCACCCACCGGCCCCGCGCCTCCATCTGCTTCTCTCCTCCCCCAGTATGGGGTCTGCGCTAGGGGATTTATTGTTATTTAACCGAAGTGTGCTTGGAAGGTCAAGTTTAGGAGCAGACTTACCTGGAGCTGCAGCCGGGGGCTAAGTCAGTTGCTCTGCTTCGCCCCTAGGGCTCTTCCTGCTTCTGGCTCCTCTGGAAACCGACTTTTATGTTCAGAAGCCGGAAAAAAAAAAAGAAACTGAAAAGCTAGCTGGTTGTTAAAAGCCATCCAGGTAGTGGTGGGGATTATGAGAAACGAAACCAAAATCAAAAGGGATTTTTTTTTTTTTTTTTTTTTAAATGGAGGCAGGAATCTGGATGAATGCCAGGAAAGACAGGGAGAGAAGTGTTCCTCCAGGCCTGGCTGGATAAACAGAACTTTGTCCCTCCTCCATAGGTGGTTTGAAGGAGGTGCAAGTAATGGTAGGATGAGAGTTCAACAGTGTCTCTCAGGGGTGTTTTGTGAGAGAGGGAGTTTATTAATTTTTCTTCACTTGAAAGATGTTTCATTTTTTCCTTTCTCTTTCCTTTTTAAGAAGTGTTTTTAACTCGGTGATCTTTGTTTTCATTAGCAAAATAAATATGTGTATATAAAATCCTCAATTTTATAGCCCAGACATATTCACTATTTTTTCTAATTGAAGAATAATTGCTTTACACTGTTGCGTTGGTTTCTGCCGCACAATAACACAAACCAGCCATAATTGCATGTATATCACCTCCCTCTTGAGCTTCACTATTATTTTGTTAGTTTTCCTCTTTTCTTTTACTAGTGTGGATCCAGATTTGGAGGTTAGGGGTTGATTCAGATTCCTTCTATTCTTTTCTGTATCCTTTAAGGCATTGTACTAACCTGTAAGTTAAAAGCTTGACTGCTCATGTTAGGGAACCAGGTTCTTTTGCCCAAGGAGTTGCAAGCCAAAACACTGAGAGCAGGAGATTTGCAGCAGAGAGTTTGTGAGGCAACCCAGTAAGGCTGCAGGGCCTGTAATGTAGGTCCCCTATGGGGCAGGAGGGTCTATTCTGACTCTAATCAGCTATATTGATTTAATCTGGTTTCAGACAGTTTTGCTGTGTTACAAGAAGAAGGAGTTTTCAAACAAGCTCTTCCCTTATCTGCTCATTCTGTAAGATGAGCTCAAGAATTTCCCTTAGTCTGCAGTTTCTGTTACAGGTTTTTACCCTATGAAGCAGGGTTTCACCATCCCATTTGTATTTCAGATGAAAGTGAGGGAAAAGAAGGACAGGCAGAGTATAATCTCAAAGTTCTATGGCCAGACCTCCCCAAGAGCAAGTGCTTTGGCACATATTCCCTATGCAGACTTCTTTAGCTGAAAAAGCAGCTAGAAAAGTATAACAATCTTTAGCCAGATTGCCATCTGCTTATTTTGTAATATAGAATGAGATCATATTTGGAGCTGCAAAGTGTGTTATAAGTCTAAAGGTGTATACTACAATATCAGGGTCAGATTTTTCTAGAATTCTAGAATCTTCCCTTGGTAGATTCAAGACTTGAACCCAAACTGGGAAAACTACCGTGGCCCTGTAATCCGTCAGCCACTGAGATGCATTTACGGGGAGACTGGGCACATGACCTAAAGCCAAATAAAGTTAATCTTTTCTCAGTTGCCTGGATCCAAGAAATTTCTCTCTCTTTTCCTCCCTCATTCTTGGTCTTGTTCTGGATCTCTTGATCTATTCTCTTCTGTTTTCATTAACTTTTTGTTTTTGTCAATGTGAGCATAAAGATATATGTTTCACAATGAAGACTGTAAGGCCACTTAGATATGTTTGGCTCTGAAACATGATATATATCATTACTTACAAATAAATTTGGAGTTTTATTTTCAGTTTCCATGGTTTGTCACTGCTTCAGGAAAAATCCTTTTATAAATTATATTCTATAGGTATAATTGACAAAAGTATACTATTTTGAAAAAGTAAGAATAATTACTTAAGTAAGTAAGAATGGCATCACCAGCTCAATGGACATGAATTTGAGTGAACTCCGGGAGTTGGTGATGGACAGGGAGGCCTGGCATGCTGCAGTCCATGGGGTTGCAAACAGTCGGACAAGGCTGAGCCACTGAACTGAACTGAAGAATGATTAAAATGTTTTCCTAAATGTAAGACTTTGGCCGCCTGATGCAAAGAGCTGTCTCATTTGAAAAGACCCTGATGCTGAGAAAGATTAAGGGCAGGAGGAGAAGGGGATAACAGAGGATGAGATGGTTGGATGGCATCACTGACTCAATGGACATGAGTTTGGGTAGACTCCCAGAGTTGGTGATGGACAGGGAGGCCTGGCGTGCTGCGTCTCATGGGTTTGCAAAGAGTTGGACACGACTGAGGGCCTGAACTGAACTGAAATGGAAGACAGTCAATGAGACAATTTAACTGAAATGAAATTTTTTTGTTTCTATTAATTTAACTCCAGAAATACCACCCTTATGGCAGAAAGTGAAGAAGGACTAAAGAGCCTCTTGATGAAAGTGAAAGAGGAGAGTTTAAAAGTTGGCTTAAAGCTCAACATTCAGCAAACTAAGATCACGTCATCTGGTCCCATCATCTCATGGCAAATATTTGGGGAAACAGAGGAAACAGTGACAGACTTTATCTTTTGGGGCTCCAAAATCACTGCAAATGGTGATTGCAGCCAAGAAATTAAAAGACGCTTACTCCTTGGAAGGAAAGTTATGACCAACCTAGATAGCATATTAAAAAGCAGAGACATTACTTTATCAACAAAGGTCTGTCTTATCAAGGCTATGGTTTTTCCAGTAGTCATGTATAGATGTGAGAGTTGGACCATAAAGAAGACTGAGTGCCGAAGAATTGGTGCTTTTGAACTGTGGTGTTGGAGAAGACTCTTGAGAGTCCCTTGGACTGCAAGGAGATCCAACCTGTCCATCCCAAAGGAGATCAGCCCTGGGTGTTCATTGGAAGGACTGATGTTGAAGCTGAAACTCCAATACTTTGGTCACCTGATGGGAAGAACTGACTCATTTGAAAAGACCCTGATGCTGGGAGGGATTGAGGACAGGAGGAGAAGGGGCCAACAGAGGATGAGATGGTTGGATGGCATCACTGACTCAATGGACATGGGTTTGGGTAGACTCTGGGAGTTGGTGATGGACAGGGAGGCCTGGTGTGCTGCAGTTCATGGAGTCACAAAGTTGCTCAGAGTGAGCAACTGAACTGAACTGAACTCCAGAATGAGTGGTCTGCATCTTGCTTTAGAAATTGTGCTTGTTTGTCATCTGGTGCAGTTAACTTTGTGTCTAGTGAAATTTTTGAGAGGAAGAGTCTCATTTTCACATCCTCAGAGTTTAGTGAAAGACCATGGGCTGTGGATTGACCAGCATTGTAAATAGTTCAAACCTGAAGCACTTTCAGATCTGAAATATGAGTGCAGTTCATCAGGTGTGGAAAATGTGGGTACAAAGGAATCATAGCCTTTGGGGATAAAATTCCTCGGTTTGGGGAGCTCTAGAATTGGGGAGAGTAGCCACTGAGACAAAATGTTTCTACAAATGTTGCAAAACTAAAAGCACCTTGGATATTGCTGAGCACAGAAATAAATAAGGTAAAAGAATAGGGATTCAGGACTATAAAATTGTAAGGTGATAGGCCTTTACTCCTTATTTGGCTATAATAAGTATGTCACTCTGCTTGTAAGCTGGAGTGGAGGTGTATCACCTGAGGAAGTTCAGCCTCAGTGTATCTGTAACACAAGGTAAAGGAATAACTGATAGTGTTCAAGCTAAACTCTCTTTAGATCTCATTCTTAAAGGAAAAAGTTATTTCTGGCTTAAGGTTTCTTGAACCATTTTTGATGTGTCAGAGAGTCCACATGATCAAAGTCCACAGACTTTAACATAGTTGGGTAGGAGTTTGAGGAGAAGGTGTCTATTAGCGCTATACAGAAAGAGAAAGCAGGATCTAATACAAACCGAAGGCCCCAAGTGTCTGTGCATTCATCCACCATTAGCCTCATTCTGTGTTGTCCATTGTTCTAAATTTTACTTCACCAGGAATGGTTACCTTCTCACTCATCTCTACTACTTTTTAAGAATATTGGAGCCAATACTCATGTCACAATTGTATTACTATAGTGAAAATCTTTAACTATATATCTAATTATCTTAAACTAGTCTATCTCATTCTTGCATGAGAAGTGGTGTGGACAGCTATCAATTAAACTGCTACTGTGTTTTGTCTTGGTTCTTACTTTGAATGAGGGGAAAAGAAACTGCAGCCATTACCCGACAAGGACAAACTCTAGTTAGGCACAAACATTTTCTTTTTCAAAGTGTTCCCAACTGTTCAATATACCCAGCTGAATTCCACTCCCTAATTTGTGCCCTTTAAATGTGCATTATAATGATAAGCAAACAAAGGGATGCTAATGCTGAGGAATTTGGAGAATGTGTGAATCTCTTTTAAAGCTATAGCTTTGTAGTTACTCCTTGTTATGCTGGCTCTGATCACAGCAGGATTTCAGCATCCTTTTGAAGATTAGCCTTTTTTCAGCTCTTGGGGATGTGTTTGGCCACTCACACAATACAGAATGAGCTTAAGATCATGTGACATGAATTCCACTGGTTCTACCACAATCACACAGTTCCGAACTAGCTTGCCCAGTAGAATTGTGGAACACTCTCAAGAGGCAATTGAGATGCCAATTTGACCATAACTCTTGAGAGGATGGGATGCCATTGTTCTGGATGTGGTCAGTAACTTAAGCCCAGAGTCATTACAGGATGCTGGGTACCCAGTAGGCATAATACATGGGTTTGGAGGCCAGTGGCACACAGTATCACTCCCAGTGACTTCTTTGGGGAAATTTGTGCTCCCTGACCTTGTAAATCTAGGCCTGTGTTTCTAGAGAGGGAGTGTTTCATTGAGGGGGCACACTAAAGGCATCTTAAACCTGAAGCTATAGATACTGCCTGTTTTCTCTGGCCATCTTTTGCCAATAAAGCAGCAAGCACAGGCATAGTTTATCATGACAATTGACTTTGATCATCACGAAGAGGTATTATTGCTCCCATGTGATGGGAGCAGGGATGAATATTTTGGTTAAAATACTAGCTTACAAGTCCTAAGGGCATATATGTGACTTTGCAGACCTTGTTTTCTTGGGAGCAGAATAAAAGCACTGCTGTTGTTGTTGTTATTCAGTCACTAAGTCGTGTCCAGTGCTCTTGCCTGGAGAATCCCATGGACAGAGGAGTGTGGCAGGCCATAGTCCATAGGGTCTCAAAGAGTTGGATTTTCTATTTGCATTTCTAATGAGTTCTGACAATCCATCTGTAACACTGAAGAATTTCCTTAATAAATACATTCTGGGAGGACTGTGTAATACCCAGTCAACAGGCAAGAGACCCTCGTGAGCATGCTATACACAAGTCTAAGGAGAAAGGGAAAGGGATGTAGAGATGTCCAGAGTAGCTCTCTCTTCCTGTACTAAGTACTGTGTGAAAAAATGATTATGATGCTGCCTTCTTACAGAATTGTTCAACGAATACTTGTATAGATCTTTAAGTCCATTAGCAATTAGCATATATTTATTAGTTATGAAGTCTGGAAGAGGCCTTTCACCTGGAACTTTGTCTTGAGATGAGTATAACTTTATTCCAAGAGACGACCACTTAGGATTGAACATCAGAGCAATGCAAGTTCCTTTCACTCTGCTGTAACTGTCCAGTCCTTACTCTTGACCCCTTTGTTTCTCTAAACCATGATCACTTCATGGTGGAAACATGTGTGCCTGTTTCTTGTTTGCATTACTTCTCATGTGTGTCAGGGAGATTTGATGGGAAAGCAGAACTCCTCACTACCCCCTTTACCAGATCATCCAGACTTCTGGTATTCAGGGCATTCTTCTGGTGACACCAGAGGGTCTTTGGGGACTAGACAAGCTGCAGGACTTACTCCAGAGAGTTTGGTTAGAGAACTGGCAACTGAGTGTTAACTCACATCCCTTAAGAAAGCAGTCATCTGGTAGATGCCACGGTCTGTCAGCTTGTGGGTGACATATTCAGTGAGAAATATATCTTCCTATCAAAAGTATAGTTTTATTTCCACAGAAGCTCCTTGAACAGCTGCAATTATGATGACAACTTGAGTATTGCCAACTACAGTATCATTGTTCATGGGTCAAAGGTGATGGCCTCATTGCTGGATAGTTTTCTTGCAGAGGATTTTGAGGAACCCAGAGCACGTGAGGTGTCCAGTCCCTTCCAGAGAAGAGCAGCAGGTTCAGACGGGTGTGCATGTACTTTCCACCCAAGTCCTTTCAGTTGTTGTTGTTGTTTTAATTGCTGAATGGTTTCCAAGTCTTTGCAACCCCTTTGACTGTACACCACTAGGCTCCTCCGTCCATGTGATTTCCCAGGCAAGAATATTATAAAAAAAAAAGAATACTTAAAATGCATTTCCATTTTCTTCTCCAGGGAATCTTCCTGACCCAGTGATCGAACCTTTGTCTCCTGCATTGGTAGACGAGTTCTTTACCAGGAAAGCCCATCCTTTTAGTACTAGTTCATAAAGCTGTTCTTGATTTTGAGTGTCCTAGGCAGCAGTTAATAGAGTGAGGAAATGGCAGTTTGTGGCCCTGATGAATGGAAGGTCATGTATTTATCCATGTACATTGTTTGAACACCTGGGGATTTTGAACACCTGGACTTTGTAGGGGAGATAAATACACAGTGAAGATCATCAAGTAGATGAGATCATAAGGCAGTAGGGGAGACAGAATATAAATAGGTTATTTCAATATCAAAATTATATGAAAATCCTGTGGTCAGAGTGAAACATGGTATGATGGCCGCACACAGGAGGGACACCACACCCAGTTCATTCTGAGTACCAGAGTCTAGCATTAAACAGCTGACAAGAATCCCTAAAATGTTGAGTTGAAATGGAATGAGTCTCCTTTGAATACATGATCTTTATAAATGTGCAGGAATTGTGAGGTCATTCCAGCCAACATTCCAATAGACTTTACACCTGAGAATAACTTATGGACTAGCAGTTCAAAGCCTTAATGACAACAATATCAGGATGCATATCTAGTACTTTCTGTTTCCTGCTGTTATAAGTAGATTCCTCCTATGGAGCTGACTTTTTATTTCTCATAGTGTTTGATACTTTCATCCTGTCATAAGAACTATTCCATTCCATATATTATTCTTTTTATTTCATTATTTATATTTATTTATTTTTGAGTAGGTAATAATTCATGCAAAATATAAAACCCACAGAGGAATATGTCATACGAACCTATTTCTCCTCTCATTTTTTATCTCAGATATACAGGTCCATTCCTGTTGTGCTCAGGGATACCAGTTTCCTTTCTATTTCCAGAAATAGAGGGAAATGTGTGTATATACTGATTATGTTTTAAATCAGTTATGCAACTTACACACTTTCTGTATCTTTATTTTTTTTCACTTATATCTTGACCTCTTGATGAAGGTGAAAGAGGACAGTGAAAAAGCTGGCTTAAAATTCAAATTTCAAAAAAAGGAAGATCATGTTATGCAGTCTTGTCACTTTATGGCAAATAGATGGGGGAAAAAATGGAAACAGTGACAGACTTTATTTTCTTGGGCTCCAAAATCACAGCAGATGGTGACTTCAGCCTTGAAATGAAAAGACACTTGCTCCTTGGAAGGAAAGCTATGACAAACCTAGACAGCATGTTTAAAAGCAGAGACATCACTTTGCCAACAGAGGTCCATATAGTCAAAGCCATGGTTTTTCCAGTAGTTATGTATGGACGTGAGAGTTAGACCATAAAGAAGGTTGATGCTAAAGAATTGATGCTTTTGAACTGTGGTGTTGAAGAAGACTGTTGAGAGTCCCTTGGGCAGCAAGGAGATCCAATCAGTCAATCTTAAAGGAAATCAACCCTGAATATTCCCTGGAAGGACTGATGCTGAAGCTGAAGCACCAATACTTTGGTCACCTGATGCAAAGAACTGACTCATTGGAAAAGACCCTGATGCTTGGAAAGATTGAGGGCAGGAGGTGAAGGGGGTGACAGAGGATGAGATGGTTGGATGGCATTATCAACTCAATGGACATGAGTTTGAGCATACTCTGGCAGATAGTGAAGGACAGGGAAGCCTGGCATGCTGCAGTCCATAGTGTCGCAAAGAGTTAGACACAACTGTGCAGCTGAGCAGCAACATCTTGGAGATTGCCTCACCTTAGCACAAATAGAGTTTCCCTTTTCATTTCAGTGACTATAGAGTACTCCTGTGTAAGTGTGTCCCAGGATTGATCGCACTAGTATGTGACAGAGGGACTTTAGAGATGTTTCCAGTCTTTTGGGATCACAACAATCCCCTCAATAAATATACTACCATACATTTCATTTTCAATTTGGGTATGTAAATGTTTAAGATAAATTTCTAAATAAGAACTTGCTGTATCAACAGTATTTTCACTTAAAGTTTGGTATATATTTGCATTAATCTTCACTCTTCCTAACATATATCAGAGACTGCCAATTTCGTGCCAAACTACTTTCTGGTCCATCTGAGAGGTGACACAGGTCCCTCCTAATTTTACCCCTCATGTCTTTTATAATCAGTAAAATTAGACATTTATATTCTCAAGTTTTTACCCATTTGAACAATGTGATTGTTGCTCTTTCCTCACTGATGTATAAGGGCTCATTATGGCTTAAAGAAATAATCTTCATACCTGTTTCATGGAGACTTTTTTTCTTATGATTTGTTTTTATACTTTTCTTAAAACTTTTCTATGAATCAATCATTACCTACTAACTTCTCCATTTCTTTAAATTAATTCAATCAAAATTAGGACTTCCCTGGTGGATCAGATGGTAAAGCGTCTGCCTACAATGTGGGAGACCTGGGTTCAATCCCTGGGTTGGGAAGATCCCCTGGAGAAGGAAATGGCAACCCACTCCAGTACTCTTGCCTGGAAAATCCCATGGACGGAGAAGCTTGGTAGGCTACAGTCCATGGGGTCACAAAGAGTCGGACACGACAGAGAGACTTCACTTTCACTTTCAATCAAAATTACTTAGATATTTGGATTCCAGGCCCTGATTCTTCAGTAACAACTTCTTTTTATTTTTAAACTTTTCTGGATTGAAACTACCATGGCATATTCCAAAGATTAACAACTATTATATGAAACCCTTTATAATGTACTTAAGCGGAATTGTCAACTCATTTAATAATTCACATGAGATGCATCATCCCTATGCACATTGTGAAAAAAGTCACTTCATAAGGACATTAACACAAAAGTAAAACCTGCCAGGATTCCTAAAGTAGTAAGCACGAATTTTCATTTCTTTCAATTACTTGTCGTAGTCTAGTTATCTCAATATGTAATTCATCAGATTTATTTTGAAAGTTCACATGGAGTTGTTCCATTTGCACCTATAAAAAGAAGATAGTACCCTGTTGAAAATATCCAATTGTCATCTTTTTATATCTAACAACTACAGCAGCTGAGTACGTGTGTCTATTTCCCTACTACTTTAGATACTCTTTGATGAGTTTGTCCAGTATTTCCAAATGTTTGAACATGGTGGGAAGTGACAGCATCCGTGGTTTAGCTTTCCAGGATCCCTCAACACCATCTCCCTGAGCAAGGAGGAGTTAGGCCTAAGTCAGGACTTAAAACTATACCAGTAATGTTTTCTAGCACTAAGACTGCACTTTGGGAGGGAATGTAGGTGAATTCTAAATATTTCTCAGTTCCCTTGAGGTAGGGTGACCATACACATGTCACAAATAATGAGGTTTGCTGACTCTCTTTAGAACACTGAAACTCCAGGTTTGGACAAAGAATTCATTTACTCTAGGTGTATAAAGTGAATCAGGCAGATCTGGAAAAAAATGTAGCAACTTGAAGTTTTCAACATCCTGTATTTGGTAGAAGTACAGTTGATACTTTTGAGAGCAGATGGGAATATTACAGGTCTCCGATGGTTGTTCCGCAAGTCCTAAGTACTCTAAGACTGGGATCCTGTTCACTTAGGGGAAGTGTGACCCTCAGTCCAGGAGCCTGGGCCATTGTTTGTCCCTTCCAAGCCTTAGCACTGCAGAAGATGCTGAGTCTTCCAGAGGTACATCTTCAGCATGATCCACATTGATGTTACATGAAACCTGTCTTTGGATTTCTCTTTGGGATCTGACTATAGGTCATATTTCTGTCCCTTTATTATTGAGAAACTAGCATTTTGTCCATCAGACTCTGCCCATGCCCATCTAGACTTGTGCTCCAGCACTTCCTGCTCTCTTAGAAGGTTTTCTTTTTCCATCATGAACTTCTCTATCAGTTGGGCTATACTTACCATGTGGCTTCTCTCTTGGGCCTCCATTTTTTTATTCTTATCACTCAGTTCCTGTTTTAGCAGATCCTGTTTCATCTCTGCTGCTTGTCTTTTGGTACGTTCCTCTGTTTCACAAGAGTTTTAAACAAAAAACAGTTATGCTGAGCTATACCTTCCTGAGCTCAAAGACTAAAATGACATTAAATTGGTGGGAAGGTGTCTGACTGTTCCTGCTACCACATCAGACAACCTGCTTTGGTATATGATATAGACACACTGACTGGATGTACATACAACCCAAACTCCCTTGTTTATTTCCACATGTAGCAGAGAGGTTCCACGGAAGAAGAGGAAGCTCTGGTTCCAGGAAGTGTTTCCTCCCACACCTGTCTAAGGGCAGTACAGGAACCACTTTCCCCTCTGAGAGCTCAGTCCTCCCCTGTACCTGCCATGGCCTTGTCCGCATCAGTGAGCGCCTGGTCTGCCTGCAGGATGGCTGCCTCTACTTCTGCCTGTGACTGCAGGAAGCTCTGGAGGACCTGGTTTGCCTGAGGAAACAACAAAGAGCAAAGACTTGTCAGGCAACATCAATATAGTATCTTCCTGGGGAAATTATTGTTCAGTGAACCTACAGATTTCTTTGGGATGGTTTTGGTCACCGCCTCCTGTTCAGTGTTACACACCTCCATCCATAGCTCTTCAGGCACTCTGTCTAACAGATCTAATCTCTTGAATCTATTTGTCACCTCCACTGTGTAAACATCAGGGATTTGATTTAGCTCATATCTCAATGGCCTAGTACTTTTCCCTACTCAAGGGAGAAAGGTAAGTATATACCCAACTGAATACAGAGTTCCAGAGAATAGCAAGGAGAGATAAGAAGGTTTTCTGACATGGACAATACAGAGAAACAGAGGAAAACAATAGAATGGGAAAGACTAGAGATCTCTTCAATAAAATGGGAGATATCAAGGGAACATTTCATGTAAGGAATGGGCATGATAAAGGACAGAAGTGATAAGGACCTAATTAGAAGCAGAAGAGATTAAGAAGAGGTGACAGGAATACACAGAAGAACTATACAAGAAAGGTTTCAATGACCTGGATACCACAGTGGTGTGGTCACTCACCTAAAGCCAGACATCCTGTACTGTGAAGTCAAATGGGCCTTAGGAAGCATCACCACGAACTAGTGGCGGTGATAGATTCCAGCTGAGCCCTTTAAAATCCTAAAAGATGATGCTGTTAAAGTGCTGCCCTCACTACATCAGCAAATTTGGAAAAGAACAGTGGCCACAGAACTGGAAAAGGTCAGTTTTCATTCCAACCCCAAAGAAAGGCAATGTCAAAGAATGTTCAAACTACCACACAGTTGTGCTCATTTCAGATGCTAGTAAGGTTATGCTCAAAATCCTTCAAGCTAGGCTTCAGCGATACATGAACCAAGAACTTACAGATGTACAAGTAGGGTTTCAAAGAGATCAAATTGCCAACATTTGTTGGATCATGGAGAAAGCAAGGGCATTGCAGAAAATAATCTACCTCTGCTTCATTGACTATGCTAAAGCCTTTGATTATAAGGATCACAACAGTGTGGGAAATTCTTCAAGAGATGGGATTACCAGTCCACCTTATTTGTCCCCTGAGAAACCTGTATTCAAATCAAGAAGCAATGGTTAGAACTGGGTATGGAAAAACAAACTGGTCCAAAGTTGGGAAAGGCGTATGTGAAGGCTGTATATCATCTCTCCGCTTATTTAACTTACATGCAGAGTACATCATGTGAAATATTCGACTGGATGAAGCACAAGCTGAAATCAAGATTGCTGAGCAAAATATCAACAGTCTCAGATATGCCTGTGATACCACTCTAATGGCAGAAAGTGAAGGGGAACTAAAGAGCCTCATGAGGGTGAAAGAGGAGAGTGGAAAAAGCTGGCTTAAAACCTAACATTAAAAAAAACTAAGATCATGGCATCCAGTCCCATTGCTTCATGGCAAGTAGAAAAGGAAAAAGTGGAAGCAGACAGATTTTATTTTCCTGGGCTCCAAAATCACTGTGGATGGTGAGTGCAAAAGTGAAATTAAATATGCTTCTTCCTTGAAAGGAAAGCTATGATCAACCTAGACAACATATTAAAAAGCAGAGACATCACTTTGCTAACAAAAGTTAATACAGTCAAAGCTATGGGTTTTCTTGTAGTCATGTATGGATGTGTGAGTTGCACCCTAAAGAAGGTGGAGCACTGAAGAATTGATTCTTTAGAACTGTGGTACTGCAGAAGATTCTTTTTTTTTTTTTCCATTTATTTTTATTAGTTGGAGGCTAATTACTTTACAATATTGTAGTGGTTTTTGTCATACATTGACATGAATCAGCCATGGATTTACATGTGTTCCCCATCCCGATCTCCCCTCCCACCTCCCTCTCCACCCGATCCCTCTGGGTCTTCCCAGTGCACCAGGCCCGAGCACTTGTCTCATGTACC